TTCACAAAAATCACCGAATAAAATATCAAGCCTTGGAAGCAATATGAAAAAGAAAAAAGATTTCTTATCCATTTTTATATGCTTACTTTCAAACTACTTCAGAGTTATGTATTCCTAGAAATGATTTCGATATTTTCTAATTAATCAAAGAAACGTTCATCTTTTTCATTACTAAATGCCGCTTTCCCCACATTTAAAGAATTATGCTTCTAACACCACAGACTATTGATTTGAGCATAGTTGCCCACCTCCTCCACTATCAACCTATCACCGCGTGTTCCTCTCGGTTTAAGAAAAATATACACTTATCTCTCCGTTTCTTTCTCTGCAAAGCAGAACGAACTGACAAACAATTTAGCTCAGGCGAAAGAAAGGAAAGTTTTAAAACTGGACTAAAATTAAAATCTGCTAGAAACACTTTAGTTGATTGGGCAAAATCCATCAAACTATTACATATCAGAACGTTTGAAGCGGATATGGTCTTCTACTTCTATTGTCTTGATTCTCAGCAGTCTTGCAATTCTGAGCGAGACATTGTATAACCGAGAAGTAGTACACCTTTCTTTCTCTTTCTGTTCAGAGCAACGAATTCACTTGTGTGCTAATCTTTATTTGAAGATATTCCATCTTTCCAGTCTCATGCCTTATGATGATCAAACTTTGATTAACTTAAAAGTGGAGGATTGCAATGCATCGTTTCCCTTTGCTCATACAATTATTTTTAGTAAATTCGATACAAACCTAATTCTTAGAAAAAAACATGCCTAATTGCTGAAGTCTCATCACAAGCAGATCGATGTGAGTTCTAGAATTCTCAGTTAGTGGAAGGGCAATCAACACGCATTTAATGAGAAGTTTGAAGGCCGACCAATCCTTCATTTGAATGCCAAGAATGAGGTTAGTGTTGCATAATAAATAATTCGATGAATTTTTACATACATCTGTTATCAATGGCTCATAATGACCTTGGGTCTTTAATAAAACAGTAGTTCATGTACGCCACATAAATAAAATGTATAGTGCTACATTGTTCTATATTTTCCCTCCCCATGACACACAATACTTAATTAATGAATCAAATATTAAATAACAAAAATCTTACCTCCATAATACGGTGCCATGGAAGAACTGACCCATCGGAAAACTGGACAGTAACAACCAGAAGTCCTTGGCGAGGTAAGGTTTTCGTGGCCAGTTGGCGCTTAGCTCGGGACAGATCTGGAAACTGACCTTCTCTTTGGAAAGCGAATGCATCTGGGACAGAACCAGAGTTTGAAGTCACTGGAAAGCCCTTGCTGCGTCCAACACGACTTCCAGAAAAGCGGATATGTGCAGTGTAGAAGGTGAAACCGGATTCAACTCTCTCATTGTCAGTGGACTGATGATAGAAGGAAGTCGTAGAGTACTTGTTCTCTGAACGTTCTTGTTGCGTTATAGTAACGGTCAGATCTATAAGTTTAATAACAGTGTTATGAAAATGATTCTTATTGAAAACAAAGAAACTAGTTGTATCAATGGAAAGATAGCACAGCCTATTCAAATTTAATGAAATCTGTAGCCATAAGTAAATGTATAGGTTCATTGACGACGAGAAAACTTTCTCTTTTACTTCGTTAACTTAAACGAGTACAAACATCTTTTCCAAATTGAGCAGAGCCAGTCATCTGCACGAGAAACTTTAGATTTTTAAATTACGACAATTGAGAATTTAATAAAGAATTTTTATTTCATCACGTTTTGCTCAGATTTCCAGAGAGATTAGATTAGAGGTTTCGCAGATAAACTTTCTAAACCGAACCTTTGGTCTCTGCTATAAAGGCCTATAATTATTCACAGAGCTTTATTTTGTACAATTTGGGGTGTGCGATAGACTTACCTCCACGTGGTGCACCCTGGGCAACGTATACTTATGCGGCAAAAAAGTCTATTGATCGGCAGTTGACTTCTGACTTCAAACTTTTATGACCTGACTATTTGTCATATTCGCCCCCTTTCGCAGTACTCATCTTACCTATTTTATGCATTTGTGTCTGTCTGTCTGTCTCTTTTACCTCTGTGAAACATTTTTCTGTCTCCCATCTCGAATTTTTCTCACTTTGATGTTCCTCCTCCTCTCTGTAAAGCCCCGAAGTCAGCTCCAGGGCTAACGATAACTATCAAAACGCCTGCCATTTGATATAAATAAATTTTGAACAATTTCTAATTTGCCATCGTTCACATAACGATGAGTATTACTAACTGGAACTTAAAAGAAAACCGGAGCAACAAATTTCATAACTTTGTTCCAGTTTTAATTGACTCATAATAATTCATGAAGTACTTAGGACATAACAGGCGGGTTTTTTAGAGAATAAATTGAATAGTCATCAAAATGTACCTGTAACGAGTTGTGCACTTAGCCCCACTGGCCACACAGCATCAGTATCCGTCACACTGACCCAAAATCCCTGAGAGTGCTGAGCATCCCAACCATTCTCCTTTCCTTTGTTCTGTTGATGCTGCTGTTTGCGTAGTCTCGCCAACGATGTCGGTAAGGCGACTTTGACAAGTGGCGAATCAACAACCGGCGCCAATTTCACTCGAACTCTACCCGGCCGTTGTCCTACCAACCAAACTCTGGTTGCTGTCTGTACATGTCCAGAGTCATCTGGGCCACTCGAGTCTCCAACGAGAACCAATCGAGCAGGCGCTTCAGAACTATCATCGAGATGGAGATTAGAAACGGCTTCGTTCACGTATTCAAGTCTGAGACAGTGGGCTGTCAAGTCTGTAACGTCAAGAACTAGGCTGGTGGAAGTCTCCTCCGTTGAAGTATGCGAGTATCCACCAGTGGAAGGATTTCGTTTATTGGAAGTTGAAAACCTTTAAAACAGAGGACATATCACTCAGTCAGGATGGTTTGATATAAAATATTTTCATTTAAATCTACCCGATTACCCCTACTTTATCTTTTTATTGTACGTTACCGTTTAAAACTTTCCTCGATTGCACTTCTCGATCATTTATTTATATCAAATGGCAGGCGTTTTGATGGCTATCATTAGCCCTTTAGCTGACTTCGGGCTTCACAGAGGGGAAGGAACATCAAAGTGAAAGAAAGTCGATAGGGGGTGGGGAGGGAACAGAAGGGTGTTTAAAAGACGAAGGTAGAAAGGTAGAAAAGAGGTGAGGTGAGTAGTGTGAAAGTAGTCGAATATGACATACAGTTTGATCATGGCAGCTTGAAGTCAGAAGTCAACTGCTGGTTAATAGACTTTATCGCCGTATGAGTAAGCGTTGCCCAGGGTGTAAAAACGTGGAGGTAAGTCTATCGCACACACCGCATTTCTCGATCATAAGCTCGAAAATGACTAATGAAATATGCTTGGGGCAGGCTTATTTATTTCCCCTATTTTAGTGACAGTAAAAGTCTTTGTTGTGTATCCATTTTATATCCATTTTCAAATTGTTAACATTTCCTCATAAACACGTTTCTCCTCTGCTGTCCATGGTTTTACAAGGAAGGTTTCGGAGCAAGATTAGCTGATTTTTAAGTTTGAAATGTAAAGGTAAAAGATTTCGATCTTTTGACGTCACACCACGTAGTGATACGTGTATGTTCCAATCTTGTTCAAAGTTTAAAAGAGTAAAAATTTTCTCTTTTTAGAACTCATTTCGAAGAATATGAAAAGACTTTAATGTCATTTGTCAGTTAAAGAAACTTAGTTAAATATTGCAAAATTATTTGTTTCAATAAGCTTTAGGCACCCTTGCAAATGCCAAAGGCATAAATGACGAGATATGTAGTCTCTTCAGAACTTAGCGTAGGTATTATGATGTTATATTTACTACTAGTTTATAAGACAATAATATAAAATTTTTACTAGAAACGACTCAACGATACATTTATGGGGTGTGCGATAGACCTACCTCCACTTGATGCACGCTGGGAAATGTATACTCATACGGCAAAAAAGTCTATTAACTGGCAGTTGACTTCTGACTTC